GAATTCCAGATGGGTAAATTCTCAGATGGGTATAACCTAATGTCTTTGGAAACAGAAAAGATGGGAAGATAAGGAAGTTAAGAAGTAGTCCCTGAGCAGGAAGTAGGGAGTTAGCTATTTGCTTTCCTTTGGTTTAGCAAACTCTAGAGTCTTCTCTTTCATTTTCTTCCCCCTCTTCGTTTTCTGCTCTCTTTTATTTCTACTTCTGTTGAAAAGTTTAAAGTTAATGCTCCTTCATTATTATAAAATTTGTTGCGTTAATACGTTTAAAAATACTACATTTTATTTCTATGTGAATAGAAATCTCTATAAATATAAATGAAGAGGCTTCTTCTCTGATATTTGGTTAACCTCATTTATGCTTCTGTGAATTTCCATAAGGAAAAGAAAGTAGCAGTTGTGTTAATTAGATGATTATTCTTATTTGGGTTTGGGTTCCAGAATAGATGCTAACAAGCATGCCAGGTCTTTTGACATCTTTTTTGTTGTGGTGGTTGTTATTACAAGTCTGGCATATTTGCCTTTACACTGAGGTTGTCCACCTTAAATTGTAATTATTTTCCTTATCATAGGCCCTTCATCTCCTCCCCACCACAAGAGATTTAACAGGTATTTTTTATGATGACATTAATCGACAATGCAGCTCATCATTAATAGAAGTCTGGAACTTAGAGAATATAAAAACATATCTTATTACATGTTGAGTTTGAGGTGACAGTGAGATATCCAAATGAAAAAGGCCATTTAGCAGTTGGAAACTTAAATACCAAATTACTTGGATGAGAAAGATTGTACTTACCCTTCATAGCAGAAGTCTTAGAATGAAAATCAGATCTTGTCATTCCTCTGTTCTTTATCCTCCACTGATTGCCTAATTCAATCAGAATAAAGCTAAAGTCTTTCAAACGGTTTTGGTGGCCTTACACAGTGTAGCCTCTTGTGATCTTTCTGAGCTCATCTACTTCCTCATTCCCGGGCTCTGGCTACACTGACCTCCTTCCTGTTTCTGGAAAAGCGTAGCTGTGCTGCTCTGGCCTTCAAGGCCTTACAGCCCTTCCCTTTGCCCTAGCGGGAGCACTCCTCCTCCAGACACCTTTCCCTCCCCCTCCCCTCCTTCAGGTCTTTGCTCATATCTCACCTTCTCAATGAAGCTTTTCTTAACTATGCTACTTAAAATCGCTGTCCCTTCCCTTCCACACACGTCTCTATCCTCACCTGCTTTGTCTGTGTAACACTTATCACTTCTAATATACTCTATAATCTACTTTTTAAATTTTATTAATTTTATTTATTGTCTCTCTCTCACAATAGAATGTACCTCTATGAGGACAGTGATTTTGATAAATTTTATTCACGGCTGTATCCCCAGCACCTCAAACAGAGGCTGGCATATACTAGGAGCTCAATAAATATTTGTTGCTAAGTTAGGGCTACCCACATTGAGAACAATTTGAAGTTTTCAAACTAATGCTTACCTTTGCTGGGAACATGAAATATAAACAAGGGTTTTATTTTTAAAGTCTTCCTTAGGGTCAAAACTAAACTACATGTGTATATATCTGTTTACATGTGTGTGTGTGTGTGTGTGTGTGTGTGTGTGTGTCTGTATGTGTGTGTGTATATATATATATATATGTCATATATAATATATATAACATCTATAATCTGCAGGTGCCTGGTGGCTCAGTCGGTTAAGCATCTGCCTTCAGCTCAGGTTGTGATCCCAGGGTCCTGGGATTGAGCCCCACATTGGGCTCTCGGCTCAGTGGGGAGTCTTCTCCTTCTGCCCCTCCTGTTGCTCAGGCTTGTGTGCTGCCTCTCTCTCTCTCTCTCTCTCTGAAATAAGTAGATAAAATCTTTTTTAAAAAATCTATAATCTAGGGATGTCTGGGTGGCTCAGTCAGTTAAGTGTCTGCCTTTGGCTCAGGTCATGATTCCAGGGTCCTGGGATTGAGTCGCGCATCAGGCTTCTTGCCCAGCAGGGAGCCTGCTTCTCCCCTTGCTTGTGCTCGCTCTGTCTCTCTCGCTCTAACAAATAAAATCTTTAAAAAAACTTATAAAAAATCTATAATCTATAAATACTTGATTGAACAGATGTTTAGTCACTTATTCACCAAGTTCTATAATAGGCACACAGTAGGTGAGAGCTGATGGAAACTTTACATATTATGTCAAGGAGGTTAAATGTCCTGTGGGCAGTGAGGATCTAGTGAAGGGTTTTAAGCAAAGATTGAGATGATCAGACATATTTTTGATAGCCTCCTCTGGTGGCTCAGGGAGACCATCTGGAAAGTTATTTTAATAGTCCATCAGGAGGTGATGAGAGGAGGATATAAGGAAGGGATGGATTTTGGACATATTTAGGAAATAAAAATTGACAAATCTTGGTGTCTGCTTGCATGTGGGGTACGAGAGAAGAGGCTAGAATGACTCCAGCATACCGACTGAGAGAAGAAATACATGAGGTGATGTTAAGTTCATTCTGGAAAGTTGAATTTGAGGTGCCTGTGTGACATCTGGATAGAGATATCTGATGGAGAATTGGATTCGGGGTCTGAGACCCAGGAGGTCTGAGCTAGAGATGGAGTTTCGGGGATAGTCCGTATAGAGATGTGTTTTGAAGTCATGTTGAGTGAGTGGTATCACCCAAGGATAATGTATATAGTTGGAGGGAAAAAGAAGCCTAGGATGTTAGGGCCATGAGGACTTCTGACTCCGAAGAATTGGACAAAAAGTACTCAGAATAAGGTAAGAAGAAAACCACACTAATCGTAATCCCTCAGGTCATGACTTAAACATCACCTCTTCAGAGAAGGCTCAGGTGATCTCCCAATTAAAATTAGGTCTCCTCTATGGCTTTTCTATGAGCCCTATTCTTTTCCTTTGTAACTTTTTTCACAGGTTAAAATTACATGTTATTTTTGTGTCTTACCTGTTTATGTCTCTCACTCCATGAGGGCAGAAACCTCTTTTTTTGCTGTCCATTATTTGCTCAGCTTTTAGCACGGTGCCTGATGCATGATAAATTTATTTAAGTATGAAGGAGGTGTGGGATCACAGAAGCCAATGGATGACAATGTTTCAGAAGGTAATTATTTCAAATGCTGCTCCAGGGAGTCCAGTAAAATAATAATAATAATAGCAGATATTGAGCACTAATAAATGAAGGAATGAAAAGCATCCATTGTATTTATCAGTGAGGAGGTTTGGGATGAGTTATCCACCAAGTGAACACTGCCCCTCGTGGAGCTCTCTGTCTGCAGAGGGGTAATGACAATATCTAGCTTCTCCAGGAACTTCATTGTGCTCTTTACATGCACTATTCAATCCTCACAACAAACCTGAAGGTAGGTGAAGGTGATTATTATCCCTGTGTTACAGATGAGGAATTAGGTTTAAGGAGATTACATACATTGCCCAAGAATAAGCAGGTAGTGATTAAGCCAGGGCTTAAATTTAAGGCCTTTCTGACCCCAGAGCCCATGCTTTTAACCACCATGCTCCAGTAGGGGGATCCAGTTGATTCTTCATCAGGGAACTGATACCTTGAAAATGACATCTGAGCAGGAATGGTTTAGGTGCTGTTTATAGGACAGATTAGAAGTGAGAGTGACTGGAATTGAGAAACCAGATACACAGATCTTGCATTAATCCAGAATGAGGCATTTGGTTCCAACTGGAATCATAACTATATATGAGAATAAAGAAGGAAGGGACAATCTAAGATCTCTTATTAAGGAAGAATTGACAGGACATAGATACCAATTGAAATGAGTAAAAGAGAAAATTAAAAAGTAATTATAAGACTACAATCCTAGGCATTGGAGAGTTTTATGAACTGCACTTCTAATATGGGAGAAATTCAAAATGGTTGCATGAAATCATAAATTTGTGATTAGAATTTTAGGTACTATTTATACACTGAAAAGGGGAAATGACAGTCTTTGGTGTTCAGAAAGGGCTAGAGGAAAAGGATTTTCTCAGACGTAGTCATTAGAACCATGTGATGACGATTCTTACGGATCTCAGCATTCTTTATAAGAAACTTTATAAGCACAGCTGCCATTGCTGTGGTTTAGTAATTTTATAATTTAAGGAAAAGTTAAAGGTTTTTTCCATTTAACAGGAATTTTCTTGCCTTTTATAAGGGTAGATGGAGTGAAAGGGAATGGAGGAGGTGTGTTGTTTGGCACTAATAAAATACAAAAGGTGGTGATAAATCCAAGGCCAGGAATAGGATTCTGAGTGCCATTAGGGATTCCACGGAGCCTAGTGGGTGATAGGGACAGGTCAGAAGGGATCTGTAAGTGCAGTCACTAACTGGCACAGCATGTGAGAGAGAGACCTGGCTGGCATGCTCAGGGAAATGACTTTGTGTTCTCTGGCATCTATACCAAGATCCTAACATAGACTAAACATTTGATCTTTGTCGCCTGACTACATAGACACAAGGTTAGGAGTATAGAATTCAAAGTTGGTAAGTACCAAATCTAGTTCATCGCTTTAACTTTAATTGTATATGTATTATTTATTTTCTTAGCAATATAAAATCCCAGACCTTGTGAGTAAAAGTTGTTTAAAGTTCTTTTCAAAGTATAATCTGAACTAAACATAAAAAATAATTTCCCTGACTCCCAATTATACATTGTTTTTACATTTACATCTGAACGTGAATTTTTCTCTGAAAAAATTTCAGTATCTACTTCATTATTCTAACAATATTTTCATCCTGATTAACCTTTATGATTTCATAAGGGCTTATTACTTTTGTTTTACAGATACAGAAAAGAAAGTGTAGAAACAATAACTAGCTGATGATTCTGTGCTTTTATATAGATGTGGTTGCTTTTATGATGGCTGTAATTAGCTATTCATTAAGAGACTACAATGTTTAGATATCTTCTAACATAAGGGAGCTTCCTCCTCCCCTATGGTTAGAAAGTTCACCAGGGTAGATTTCTTATTGTTGTCCTTCCTTTTTAGGTGTGAAATTTTTCAACATGAGTGGCCTCGGGGACAGTTCATCCGACCCTGCTAACCCAGACTCACATAAGAGGAAAGGATCGCCATGTGACACACTGGCATCAAGGTAGGGACACTCTTTTCTTAGTCTATATCAGGGAGAGCTTCTGTATCGTTTTCATTGACACTTTAGAACCCTTGTTTCATCTATTCCAAGTTTACTGATCATCTTTGAGTCCCTTAGACTCACCATGTTCTCTTGCTTCCCCAGGGCCTTTGCACATGCTGCTCCCTTAATCCAGCTCGCTCCCTCTAGATTTCCTGTAGTTAACACCTATATGTTCTCCAGATGCCAGCTTAGACATTACCACCTTAAAAGAAGCCTTCTCTTACTTCCATAACTATTATTTTAAATCTCCCTCATTCATGTATCTGTCTCACATGTATGTTTATAGCTCTGCTCCATAATTTTCAGATTTTTACTAGTTCATGTGATTATTTCACAAATCCCTGGCTTCTCCACTACACACCTAGGCTGCCATTTGGTAAGGACCTTGTCTATTCTTACCCTTTTATTCCTGGTTTGTAGCATAGTATTTGGGTTATATATAGTAAGGACACAGTAAAAATTTGTCAAGTGAATAAATAAATCCATTGTACATCTTTAATTGCTGTCTTAGAACATTACGGTCTTAGAAGAACAAATAAATATATTGTTATATTAGGATTTTAAAGAATGCATATTGTGAAATTAAATATTTGTATATTATAAGGAATATGATCACCTTAAATAGGCTAAAAGAGAATTATTGCTAAGGAGACTCTAACAAATACCAGATAGAGAAGGGACCTTAATCACACAAAAGAGCAGCTTCCCATCTGAGAGGAGAAGAGTGGGGATCCATTCACCTTCTAGGGTCTAGAGTAAGCTTTCTCAGCCTTTCACACTATTGGCATTGTCCCCCAGATAATTCTTTGTTGTGGAGCGCCATCCTGTATATTGTAAGATGTTTAGCAATATCCCTGGCTTTCACACACTAGAGGCCAGTAGCATCTTTATATCAGTTACGATAACCAAATGTCATAGCAGTTATATGATTACCAAAAATGTCTTCAAAACATTATCAAATGTTTGTCAGTATTTCCTGAGGATGGGGAAAAGCAGTATGGCTCCAGTTGATAATCAGTGATCTAGGGAGTGAAGTGGCAGAAGACTCTTTTGTCACTGGATTACATGCTTCTTTCTCATGGGGGCCAGGGGGGAGGAAAGGATTTTAAGAGGAGAGTGAGTGCCAGGGCTCCAGGGTGGAGGGTGAAAAGTGAATCAGTTCAGAGAACTAGCATAGAGAGATCATAACCTAAGTACTCATAACCACAGGTGAGTGTCCAGGTGCTCAGAGGAATGTTGATATCAAGATACAATCTAGCTTCGTGTTGTCAGAGTTAATGTTCTTATATGTATATAAATTCAGTCTTTTTCAGAAGAAAACTTACAAATAAATAATTAAAACTATGTTTTTTAGATTTAATTTTTATTTGGGGGAATTTTTTAAATCTATGAAAATATAGAGACTAAGAATCTATGTATACCCATCACATATAATTATTCATATTTTACAGTGTTATTAGCATTGTGTTAATATTTTATCATATTTGCATAGTCTTGTTTGAATAAAGGTAGTAGAATGATTAATGATTAAATTGATCTGTCTGCAACTAATTTCTCCATTTTTAATAATTATATATATAAGGATTGGTGAGTAATATAGATTGTTTATAAATATATATTGTACAATGCTGTATACTGTATATATTTTTCTATAATATGCTCTTTTCAGCATACATCTTGAGAGATAAATACATGTAGATTCAGTCCTATCATTTTTTTAGTTATTTTTTTATTATTACTGACATACAATTGACATATAACATTGTGTAAGTTTAAGAGGTACAGTGTGTTGGTTTGATACATTTATACATTACCATATGTATAGTGTTAGCTAACACCTCTACCACCTCCCACAATTATTAAGTCTTCTTTGTGGTGAGAACAATTAAGAACTAGTCTCTAGCAACTTTGAAGTTTGTAACACAATGTTGTTGACTGTAATACAATTTTTGATGAAATATTGTGTTACAGGAATGTACCCCATTTGGAAAGATCCCTTTCTCTACAGAGAGACATTCCCTCTAGATAAACAACCTTTTTGTTAGAAATTTTCACTCTTACCACTAGCACTGCAGCGAACACCCTCATACATACCTCCTACTTTATACATAAGAGTTCCTTTAGGATCTGTGTACATTTTTTTTTTTAAAGATTTTATTTATTTGCCAGAGAGAGAGAGAGAGAGAGAGTGAGAGCACAAGCAGGGGGAGCAGCAGGCAGAGGGAGAAGCAGGCCTCTTGCTGAGCAGGGAGCCCGATGCGGGGCTTGATCCCAGGACCCTGGGATCATGACCTGAGCCGAAGGCAGACGCTTAACCGACTGAGCCACCCAGGCATCCCGAGGATCTGTGTACATTTTTATGTTAACTGGGTCACTACCACATTGCTCTTCAAATAAGAAGCATTGAGAGTTCTTTTTTCTCACATCCTTACACTATTCTCTCCTCACTTTAGCTCTTTGCCAGTCTGATGAGTGTGGGGTTTCAGTTTTAAGTATATTTAACCAATCACTAGATTAATTGATCATGATTTTTCTTTTCCTCTTCAGTGAATTTCCTGGTTGTATCTTTTGCCCATATTCCTGCTAGGGTGTTTTTCCTTTTCCTTTTGTTTGTAAGAGTTATTTTTAATTTTCTAGGTACTACCCTTTTTTGCTTATATTTGATGCAAGTATCTTCTCCCAAGTCTGTTTAACTCTGTTTTTGAAATCTGTTGTTGTAGGTTGGAACCTTCCGTTTTCATGTGTCAAGCTCTTGGGGGATCTTGTTAAAGAATTTTTCCCCTCTACTTCAAGGCCTTAACTGTATCTTTACGTATTTTCCTCTAATACATATGTAGAGTTTTAATTAATCTGGAATTTATTTTTGCGTGTGATATAATTTTATTTTTTCCCGTGTAGAACGAAAGTGGTTATGACCCTATCCTTTCCCTGCTTTTGTGCTGTTACCTTTATCATAGATCGAGTTCCTGAAAAGATAGGGATCTGGGTCTGAACTTTCTTATGACAATCACCGTGATCTCTGAAGGGGCAAGTCCTTCTTCCTTGTCATTTTTCAATATTGTTTTCCCTCTTCTTGTCCCTTTAACTTTCGTAAGTTTCCCCTGGAAAAAAATACTCCTGGGATTTGGATTAGAATTTCATTTACTTTTATAGATTAAGTTGGGGGAGAAAGACATTTTCATTTTCTAGACTGTAGATTCTGGAGTGTTCTTATTTATAAATATAAAGGCTGTTCACTTATTCAAGTCTTCACTGTTAGTAATAGTTTATACATTTCCCCTTTAAACAACTACCTCATCTTTAGTTAGATGTATTCCTGGGCACCACAGAATTTTTTATTGCTTTTAGAAATGGGATCATTTGTCTGTTGCACCTTCTAATTGGCAATTTTTAATATATAGGAATACTAATGATTTGGGATTACTGGTCTCGTGTGCGTGTGCATCCATTGTTCTGAACTTTCTTATTTGTTTTATGGTTTATCTGTAGGTCTTTGATTTTTTTGTACATACGTAATCATGTTATTACAAATATCAAAAATTTAATATTTTTCTCTTCTTAGATGTTTTGAAGATGATCCTTATATGTTTGTAAGGATAATCCTTATCTTTGTATGTTTGCTTTCAAAATATTTGAGAGCATTCCCTCCTTCAGGTTTATAAGTGGGCTTTAGTTTCAGTTGATATTTTTGATATGGTAAACCAGAACTTTGTGATTTTGAAACTGATTGAGCATGAATACCACCTTGTCATGTTTCTTTTGGCTTTGTTATCATCCACTTTCTCTAGATTGTGAACTCATTAATCATAAAGAGCATATGTTAGACTTCAGGGTATTGCCAGCCCTGTCCACCAGAGCCCTGACAGAGTTTCTTAGTAATTGTTTGGTGGGGTGAGATGTCTCATATCTCTTCCTATTACCTCTTCTCCATTCCTTAACTCTACTGGAGAATGCTGGTCTCAAAATGGTGGGTAGCTGTGCCTTGTGCTTGTGTAACATTTCTAATTCAGCTCAACAAGTGCTTTATTCAGTGCCTACTATTCAACCAGCATGGTGTGCATAATGTTACTAAGGATATAAGTGAAGTGAAACATGTTTCTATCTTCAGGGAGCTTACAGATCGGGTCTTGCCATGCATTCTTCTGAAACCCTTCTGGGTTTCCTCTTACCCTGAAAATAAATGTTCATAGCCAAAATGATGATGCTAGATAACATTTATTGAACTAATAGCCAGGAACTCTGCCAAGCTTTTTACATGTATCATCTTTTTTAATCCTCACAAAATTCTGGGGATAATGTCATCATCCCTGTTTTACAGATAAAGAAATTGAAGCTTGGAGAAGTTAAATTGCTGTTAAGTAACTTGCCCAGCACTACATAGCTAATAAATGACTGAGAAGTTTGAATTTGTGCTTTTAAGCAGTGTACTGTGCTTTTTATCTTGGTGTATGCAAGAGCCCTCATGATCAAGCCTGGACCTCATCTCTTGCCCTTTTGTTTCTTATTTATAGTTCAGCCATACTGAACTACTTCTAGGTCCTTTTACTTGACATTTTCATCCCCGTTTTATACCTCTGAAAAAGCTGGGTGTGTTTGTCTGCCTCCCCCAGCCTGAAACCAACTCCCCTCTACCACTAGGTTTAGACACCTTGTTCTCTAGGTCTAGGCGCAATTTCTGTGAGCCTCTATAGTATTACAGTCTTTGTCACTGTAATGGCTCCTTTTCTTTATTCTCACCCTAATTGGGACTACTTCTAATTTACCACTGGGTCCCCAGGACATAGTACACAGTTATCTGGCACGTAATAAGCAGAGGAGCATTTGTTGAAAAAGCTAGTAAGTTGAAGACAAAAGATACATGAGGAGTTAATTCATAGCATTATTAACCAGCATGTGTGCAGTATCAATAGAAATCCATTGGGCTGGTGAGGAGAAATGTAAGGGCCCAGAGTAATACAGGAAGCCTTCTTTTCTATTAAGGTAGAATTTTTTTTGTCACATCTGCCCCTTCTTCAGTTTTGACTTTATTTGAATATATCTGCTCTCATTTTCTGTCCTTGCTTATTAGTTACGTCATTTCATGGTGATTTTCCTAGTCTCATTCTTAAGTCATTTTATAGACACCTCAGCATTTCATTACTTTTAGCTTCTTGCTTCCTCTGTCACCTCCCTGACTATCCTGCCATTCTATCACTTTCTTTTACTCTGCAGTAGTGTCAGGCACTTCAGTTTTACATAAAATTTAATGTCAAAAACAGATTTGGTAGTTCTACCACATGAATCCAATTTACTCATGTTGGAATTTAGACCCCTAGATTTAAACAGATCATACTTTAGACTGAATCTACAAAATAAGTCCAGTATGAATGAGTTTCTCTAGGGTAAAATCACATGTCCTCTAAAACACTATCAAGTTGCAGAGATGGAGTTCTCTGAAACCTTGCATATATCAAAATGTGTGTTACTTATTTTCTTCATGTTTTCGATGCCTTGGTGTGAAGTTTGTCAAAATATCTTACTACATGTACTCTCTGCAGAAACTGTAAGATAAAATTTTACTAAGTAAAATGAGACTAATAACTCTAATGAAAGGTTTTAAAGATAAACACAATGTGATTATTATAGTTTTATAATTTGGTTTTGTTTTGGGATGTGTACTATTTTGTAGTATTTTGTTTTACGTAGTTAAATACAGTTGATTGGTTGACTTTGTTCTTTTCAACTTACTGTGTTGTTATGGAAATGCTATTGCTTTTACAGTTTTTTTATTATGAAAAGTAAGTGGTATTTTAATTGTTGCCAATTATGAGCTTTTTAAAAAGCAACTGATCTTTCCCTCTTTTCACCTCTTTTTTTCCTACCACTTTTCTGCCATTATACCAGATGATTTTGACTGCTGCTTATAAAACAAAGAGCTATTTGTGACCAGTCTTTTTATTATGTTGATTTGATAATGGAAAAATTCATTTCAAAGTAATATTTCACTATCTTTGTATGTATTACATAAAGCAAGTTGCCTGATGATTTGGCTAATTAAACCAGAAGTAAAGACAGGAAAACAAAAGTGAACAATATTCATTCATTACATTTGAATGAATATAAAGTGCTAACTGTTTGCACTACTATCCTTTGTTCTCATTATTTTGCTTCAAGATATATCATAATTTATTTTATTTATTACATTTATAAGAACTTATAAATAGATGTCTTTTCTGTTTTTTAGAACAAAGTTGTATACGAAAGACCTTGTTCTCTGTACCTTTGTCTCTAATTATTGATTTTTTATTCTTCTTATTTTACTTTTTGGATGGATACTCTTTTCTTTCTGATGAGGACCAACTAATGGTCTAATCATTATAAGAATTAAGAGTTTATCAGATTTCTTTCAGTAGCAAAAAAATTAAGAAAGTTTATCAGATTTCCAAGTATAACTTATTTGTATAGTATATAGTATATAGTATAGTATAACTTATACTATAGTATAGTCTCCACTGCTTAATTTATAACAAAGTTGTTTGAAAATTTGAAAATTCATATTTTCTATTTCAAGGAGTTATTATTTAGAATGTAAAATAAATTCCAAATGCAACTTGTATATGTACTGTCTGCTTCCTTTTAATATCTAACATTCATTGGCTATTTGAAATATTTGATGTATTTACATCATTGAAGAAATATATCTGTGATGGTAGTCATTCTTTTTATGTATTTTGACCAGAATTGTTTTCTGTACTTTGGTATTTTGTAGTACCTGTTTTTCAGATGTGAATTTAGATTGTTTTCAAATCTGATTTTATATTCTGGATAAAATTACGGATCTCTCTAAGTATGTAAATATTAAGTACTTGAACAGAGGGGACGTATGGTGGTAGAAATGTACACTAACTGGTTTTTCTTTGTGTAACAGCACTGAAAAGAGGCGCAGGGAGCAAGAAAATAAGTATTTAGAAGAGCTAGCTGAGTTACTGTCTGCTAACATCAGTGACATTGACAGTTTGAGTGTAAAGCCAGACAAATGCAAGATTTTGAAGAAGACAGTCGATCAGATACAGCTAATGAAAAGAATGGAACAAGGTAAACAAAACAAAACCCATAGCTGTGTGCTTTGTTATGAAGACTTTCATAATATGTGACTTTTATTTTTTTATTATTAAGAAGTTGCATTGAATTTCATAATTTTATTAAACATTTTTGTTTAGATAGTCTTTATTTTTTTTAAAGATTTTATTTATGTATTTGACAGAGAGAGAGACAGCGAGAGAGGGAACACAAGCAGGGGGGTGGGAGAGGGAGAAGCAGGCTTCCCGCCTAGCAGGGAGCCCGTTGTGGGGCTCGATCCCAGGACTTAGGGATCATGACCTGAGCTGAAGGCAGACGCTTAACGGCTGAGCACCCAGGCACCCCTAGATGGTCTTTATTTTAGAAAGTGAATCTGAGGGGCGCCTGGGTGGCTCAGTCGTTAAGCATCTGCCTTCGGCTCAGGTCATGATCCCAGGGTCCTGGGATCGAGCCCCGCATCGGGCTCCCTGCTCCGCGGGAAGCCTGCTTCTCCCTCTCCCACTCCCCCTGCTTGTGTTCCCTCTCTCGCTGTGTCTCTCTCTGTCAAATAAATAAAATCTTAAAAAAAAAAAAGTGAATCTGAGAGCCTTCTTGTTACAACAACAAGGCTTATTAATTTAACTTGAACATTTGTTGCCTTGGGAGGTTATGGAACCTAGTATCCTAGGGGATTGAGTCAAGAGACATAAGTTGTGGTGTCAGACCTGAAGCTCTGGCATAGTGTTGAAAGACAGTAGCTCAGTTATAGGAAAATCCCTCCGTCTGAATAATAAGCTGGTCTCTGCCTGGGCTCTGGGCATGGGGAACAGTCTCCTATAAGAAGATCCTGATTTTTTTTTTTTTTTTTATGATTTTCATTTATACTATCCATATTTACTGAGGACCCCACACCACAAAACCCCTGGCAAAGAATTAAAGTAGATACAAAGGCAAAGCACTTTGGAGGAAAGCTCCCACACCTGGCCCCAAGGCATTCCCAAAGAAAAAGTGCTTCTCAGGGTGATTTTATGCTAAAAATTTATATAACGTACGAGGAAATAATCTAAGTAAATAGGAGCACAAATAACAGAAGGAATAGACCCAAAAGAAGTTCAGATTAAGAATAGCAATGTGAAAAGATTATAAACAAATATATTTATAATGATTAAAGTGATAGGATTTTAAGATTTTATAAGCTGGAAAGTAGTCAGTCTAGTGACAGCCGATTGAGCAGAGGGGAGAAGCTGGTATTTTTAAGTCTGCAAAGGGGAGAGCCAGTAAGAGGCTATATGTCTCCTTGCTGTTTGGTCTCAAACCCTGACAGCCTGACTCATATTCCCTAAGTCAGAGGTGGGAGGACTCTTCTGGGCACACTGAGCAGTCCAGAGGAAAAGACACATAGACACTGACCGTTGGGAAGACAAAAATCCATTCTCTATCTTTCCCCCTCTATTCACAGAGCTGCCAGTCAGCATTTTAGTACCTCACTCTTTAATATGAATAAAAATCCAGATATTTGAGGAAAGGCTGTAATCAAGGAAACAGAAAAAGGAAAGGCAGAAATCAAGCAAATTGAAAAAATAGGAACTCAGAGAAAGCAGAGACAATGCAGGGAGCAGAAGAAAACTTAACACCATCCAACAGTCCCTTAGAGACAAAAAGGAAGAGATTTCATCTATGAAATGATAATAAGATGCTATAAAACATTCAAGACACCAAATAAATTTTGGTACTTAAATCAGGATAGCTGAAATAAACTTTACCTCTTTACCTTGTTTTCTACTCTTTGCCTACTCATACCCTCTGCCTAACCATTTTGGGCACTCTCTGCCTCAGGTATTTGCACTTTCTATTCCCTTTGTCTGGAATGTTCTTTCCCAGATATATACAAGGCTCACTCCCTCATCCCTTTTAAGTCTTTGTTTAAATATTTCTTCTCAATGAACGTGTCCATAACTATCCTATCTAATACACACACACACCCCTCTATAGCTTCTTTATTTTCCCCACAGTGTTTTTGCATTTAACATATTACATGTGTTATTTGTTTATTGTCTGCCTACTCCTACTAGAGCTCCATGAGGGCAAGGATTTTTGTTTGTTCATCATTATGTCCTCAGTACCTAAAACGGGTCCTGGCTACATAGTAGACTTTCTGTGAGTATTTATTGAAAAAATAGATGAAGGGTTGAAAGATAATGTGAGGAAATCCCTTAGAAAGTAAAATAAAAAGATAAGCAGTCGTATGATTAATTCCAGAGATAGAGAACAAACCAAATAGAAGGGAGGAAATTATAAGAGTAATAATACAAAAACAAAACAGTATACTTTTCAGAATTAGAGAGATGTGGGTTTCCAGATTAAAAGCACTCATAGTGAATAAAAAAGAAAGGAGGAAAAGAAAAACACACCAATGCACAATTTTCAGACACTAGAGAAAAAAAACGAGAGAGAGAAAAAATGGACACACGCTAGATTCAGAATGTATCCAGATTTCTGAATAACAGTACTAAAAAATGAGAATTCTAAACCTGGAATTCTGTGTGCATCCAAATGAAGTATGGGTGCAGAATAAAGACATTTTCAGACATTCAGAGCCTTAGTTGAAAAGTTACCTTTTTTCAGAAATACCTATCAAAACCAAGGTAGTAAACCAAGAAAGAAAGGCATAAGATCTTAATCCAGGGAAACCATGGAGTCTTAACATAGGAAAGGTAGAAGGAGACCCAGGATTACAGTTGTGCATCAACCTAAAAACATAGCCAGTCCTAGTTGGAGCAGGTGGATAGGGGTTTTCCAGAGGTATATTTCCATAGAAAAAAGAACGGAACAGAGTATCTGATGACTGACCAAATTGAGAGGAATTTTTCAGCTCTTGGGGATAGTTTAGAGATGAATTAAACTAAACAAAACTAAATCACAAAATATAAGAAACATAAATTATAGCACACACCTTGGCTTATTTGTGAAGTATATTTATGTAGTCATAGTAACATAGACATTAAATACTGATTGCTCTAAAAATTGTTGTAACTATATGAGGAGGATGGAAGGAGGGAGAAATGTGTATGTAGAAGGTTGATGTAAGTAAGTTCAAGTCTTACTTTTCATGATAGCATGTCAGTAATGTCTGTCGTGGGTATAATCAAGATATAGCAAATAAACATGTCATTGAGAAATACAGAATGTATTAGTTAGCATATAGGCTAGGCTACTGTAACAAGAGGCCCAAAGTACAGTGGCTCTAACAAGATAGTCTAGGTATGTGTCAGAGGCTGGGATTCCTTCCGTCTTTTTTGCTGTGCCATTGCTAGTGTATTGCCATCACCTCGGTGGTCAGACATGGCTCAGCTGTCTACATCCCAGCTGACAGGAAGGGGGAAGAAGAAAATGGGAAGACATGCTTCTTTCAAGGATAAGACCCAGAAATTGCATGTCATTTCTGTTCACATTTCTTAAGCCAGAAAGTAGGTCCCATAGCCACTCCTGCCTTATGATTTGCCTAAAACTTTAGATGTTGTGCTTTTCACACAGTTATTTAATTTACTTGAACTTGATAGTTTATGTTTTTTTGCAAACTAATGTTTAAAAACAAAAGCCTGTCTTAATGTCATAAACATACGAATTGATGAAGGAAGTACATCTTAGAACTAAATGAGAAACTTTTATACCATAATAATAAAAAGATAAATAATCCAATTAAAAAATGGGCAAAGGCTCTGAATAGACATTTTCCAAAGACATATAAATGACTAATAAGCACAGGAAAAATATGTTCAATATCATTAGCCATCAGAGAAATGCAAATCAAAACCACAATGAGATATTAGGATGGCTGTAATCAAAGAAACAGGTAACAGGTGTTGGTAAGGATGGGAGAAACTGGAACCCCCATACGCTGCTGGTAAGAATGTAGAATAAAATTGTGCAGCCACTTTGGAAAACAGTCCAGTAGTTCCCCAAAATGTTAAACATAGAGTTACCATATCATCCAGCAATTCCATTTGTAGATATATACCTGAGACGAATGAAAACATAGGTCCACACGAAAACTTGCACACACATGTTCATAACATCATTGTTCATAAATAGCTGAAAAGTGGAAACAACCCATATATCTATCAGCTGATCAATGGGTAAGTAAAATGAGATATACTTACACAGTGGAATATTATTTGGCAACAAAAAGGAATTAACTACTGACAAATGCTTCAGTATGGATGAACCTTGAAAACATGCTAAGCAAAAGAAGCCAGCCACAAAGAACCACACATTGTGTGATTCCATTTATATAAAATGATCAGAATAGGCAAATCCATAGAAACAAAGTAGATTGGTGGTTGCCTGGGGCTTGGGAGTATTGGGAAAATGGGTAGTGACTGCTAAAGGCCCGGGCTTTCTTTTTTGGGTGATGAATATGTTCTAAAATTTATTGTGATGGTGGTTGCACAACTCTGTGAATATACTAAAAATCATTGAATTTTATGCTTTAAATGCATGAATGGTATGCTATGTGAATTGTAGCTCAGTAAAGCTGTTATTACAATATACTATATGAGATGACATTTTACACCTATTAGATTCACAAAAATAAAAAAAAAAAAGAAATTGTGACATCAGTTGCCAGTGAGGATGCAGAAAAACAAAAACGTTTGGACATTGCTAGTGGTACATTCTCTTTAGAGAGCAGTCTGTCAAACTTAGTACTTTTTTTTAAAAAAAGATATTTATTTATTTGAGAGAGAGTGAATGCAAGAGAGCACAAGTGGAGGGTGGGAGGGCAGAGGGAGAGGGAGAAGCGGGGTCCCTGCTGAACAAGGAGCCTGACACAGGGCTCGATCCCAGAACCCTGGGATCATGACCTGAGCTGAAGGCAGACACTTAACCAACTGAGCCACCCAGGTGCCCCAAACTTAATAATGTCAAAAATGCATAGACCCTATATGATCAACTTCACTTTTACTATTTACCCTAAAGAAACTGTCACAACATGTACAAAAAAGGAAATACTGAAAATAGTTTCCCACAACACTGTATGTGGTGGTCAAAGGTTTGTCAGTAGTGGACTAGGAAGTCTAACTGTGAGTTATTTATATGACATAATACTATATCCCAGTTCGAATGAATGAATCAAATCTATATCAATGTGCTTAAATCTCAAACAATATTGAATGGCAAAAGTAAGTTGGAAAAGTCTCTATATATTTATGTAAACTTGAAAATACAAAACAGTAATATATTGTTCATGAAATCATACATGTGTACTTAAATAATAAAAACAGGCTTAGAAATTATTAGGCTGATCTCAGAATACTGATTAGTTCTGAAAAGGGACAGAGGAAGAATGGTGGCAGAGCATTAGTTCTATGTGCAGCATTTCATTTTTTAAAAAGGAAGGACCTGAACCAAATGTTAACATCTGTGAAAAATGAACGATGGCTATGTGAATGTATGCTATGTCACTTTCTGTATTTTTTTGGAATGTATGGAATAGTTCATATTTTAAAGTGAAAAAAATGAGTGTCTATATTCAATAATACCACATTCGGTTTTGGGCTGACGAACTAACTAGTTTGACAGATTGGAAACGTATTTAATTACGGTGCTGCTTTAAGATGATGGATGGCTGTTCCAACATCACTGCACAAAAGAACTCCAGATCATTTAGCGGTTACGGGTTTATCAATCAGATCGCCATGACGTGAATGTGAAAGGTTAGCTAATTCATGCAGGCTTACAAAAGGAAAAAGCGTTTGTTCACTCTTTATTCAGTGGCAATTGATCAAATCAGAAAAGGATAAAGAAAAATGGAGGAAATCATCATTCTTCTACAATTTAGTCATTTCTTAAAAACTTTCAGTGTAGACTCTTTCAACAGGCTGTATATTTATACCATTTTTCCCATTGTTGGAACACTGGACTTAATAGGTCAGAATTCAAATTCTCCTGCTGCCACTTATTAGTTATATGATTTGAGACACATTACTCAACCTTTGTGACCCTCAATTTTGTCATCCATAAAATGAGTATAATTAAGATTAAACAATAGTATTAATAAATATCACCTAGATAATAGATAAGTATTATTTGAATCTTAAATCAGGTGAATCTGTGTCTTCACAAACTTGCCATCATGGAAATGCGCCCTTTTTGGATGTATGACTTTTTGTTTCTTTATTATAGAGAAATCCACAACTGATGATGAAGTGCAGAAGTCAGATATCTCGTCCAGCAGTCAGGGAGTCATAGAAAAGGAATCCCTGGGACCTCTTCTGTTGGAGGTAGCTGGTTTCACTGAGTAACAAAGTGATCAAAATCTTTGGTCTAAGCCAATTTGTTTTTTTCTTTTTCTTTTATGTCTTCCAATTAATAAATTATAAAACAAAGTAAGTTTTAAGAAAACCTTTAATAATTATTTTATTTTGTAACCTGTTTTGACAGTTGTGGCTATTTCAGAATTAAATGTGATTGATAAATAGGACTTTCATGAAGGCATTCTATATAGTCAGATGGAAAACTGAAACCTACTGGATGACTGCCATTTATTTCTGGGGAGGTTGGGACTCATCGGGATTATAAAACATTAGAATTATTTAGCTCACTAGTGCTATCTATTTGTCTGTGATAGAATTTCACTTTTGAGTAAGGGATGCCTCACTTTATTGCAGTATGTGTTTTTCTGAAAAGTTTCCTAAAATTTTTAATTGTTTATGTAAACACTGTCAGAAAACTTACTATTTTAACAACTCTCTACCAAACTTTTTTAAAATGAAGAACTTTTAAACTTGAATTATTTTGTAATTACTGTGTAATTTTCTCCTCAGCTTTTCGTATCTAATCCTCACTCCGTCTGTTCTCAACGCAGATGGTTTGTTTCCAAGCAGGCTCATCACCTTAAGTGCTCCCTCTCATACATGAATGTTTAAGAACACGTGTGTCTGGACACACTCATTTCTGCAGAGTATGCCTTTCTGTCTCTAGGCCTAGTGTCATTTGTACACCTATATGTATGTGTATATGTGTATACATACGTATATAAATATATATATATACACACGCTTACATATTTTTAATATATTTTGTGTATATAATAAATTCTCCTTTTCTTGTCCTACTTGAAGGCCCTCCTTTCTGGTGAAGTCTTTCTAACAACTCAGACATGTACAGGTCTCTTTATTTTCTAACTCCCTTATGCATTTTTTCCTATTATCCCAACTTATGCCTCTGTTTTTTTTATTATTATCCATAATTCCCTCTGCCAGCACTGCTAATACGAGAATATTCTGAGAATTCAGTTCTTGATTTTCCAGCCCCAGAAATTTCTTGTCTGCTCTTTGCTTTACCTTTCATCTCTGTGGGGATGACACCTAAATACGTACTTCTTGCTCTCACCTCTTCACATACTCTGTTCCTGTATTTTTCACAGGCTGCTATGTATTTTTTCCTCTCCTAGTAGCAGTTCCCCCTCAAAATCCAAGTTCTTCATTTTCCCTCCATGTGACACAAGCACTTTTGTTACTTACGGTATCGGTCTTGATGATTTTTATTAAGGGAATGGGCACGTATTTTGTAGAATTGTAAAATATAAAAGACATAGGCCATTGAAACTGGATAGAAATGACTACCATGCGAGCGCATGCACACAAGTTGTAACTGGGAGGGGAGAGCTAACCACATGTGATAGAGTCTGATGGTTTTTATTGTATCCTTTTCATAATCTATTAAATTGATTGCGTGGCACATGACTATATTTTGGAAACAGTGTTGTAACAAGTATAATAAAAATGTATGGTAGAATCTAGGTTGTGAACATACAGATGTTCACTACAGAATTCTTTCAACTTTGCTGTATCTTGAAATTTTAAAATATAAGCTATTGGAAGAAAATATGTTAAAGAAAGAAAAGCACTTTTGGTTCATTTCTAACTTCCATTTCTTTGCCCTGCTTGGCACCTGTCACTGGCCCACTGCTTGGTTACCCTGGACCCTTCCTGGAGACCTGATCTGTCCTAGCATTTACTGCCTATCTCCTCTACCCTACAGGATGTTAGTACGCTAGTTTTTTCATATCTTCAAGTTTTTCTTTGTAGGTTCTGTCTGCCTTATCAGTGCCTTAGGTTTAAAACTAGCCTCAGGACTCCTTTCAATTCATTAAATATTTTATTAAATTTGCTTTCTGCATATACTGTCCTTTGAGATACTAATTAGTATAAGGTGTACAGATTCTTAAGATTTCTGGGGTTCCTGTAGGAAAGTGGTGATCATTTAAATCCTAGCTTCATCACAGGTTCTTCAGAAACCACAGATTTCAACAGCAAGCAGATTATCAACAAACTGAACACAGCGCAACTAGAGACAGAGAATATTACTACTGTTACTTTAATTTATATAAACATTCATTATTGATGTGTGAGAGAATCCACAACACTTTAACATGAAGTGAAAATGACAAGAAAACGTCCATTTGAAGCTACTATAAAAAGAAAACAGAGTAGGAATTATTTCTTTTAGCTGATGAAATTATTACCCTGAAGACCACTGTGAAATCAAGGAAAGCTGTGACACAGCATCACACGTGAGTTAGATATCATCGGGTAAGCATTTTCAAAGAGGAAAAAGAAATTCCAGAACCTCAGAATAGAAATATATTTAGGTTCTTGACTTCAAGGAGCTAATAGTATTTTTATTTATGAGATATAGATATGTGAAACAGATGGCAAAATAGAATTCCTAACTTTTACAGACTTCAGAGTTGCCTCCATCAGCAGCTTTTTCTGTGCCTTCTTCTGTACCCCCCAACCTCATCCTCACTGCCTTAAACTTTATAGAGTCTAATCCAGGGCAGCTAGGAGAAGTGGTGAAAAACCACCGTGACACTCCTTGGATTCATTCAGGCTGCAGTCTAGAGCTGCACTATTCAGTAAGATAGCCCCTAGCCACACAGGGCTATTCAAAGTAAAATTAAAAATTCAGTGCTTCAGCCTCACCAGCCACATTTAACATGTTCAGTGCCCACATGTGGTTAGTGACTACTGTATTGGACACACAGATATAGAACTTTCTGCAATGACAGGAAGTTCTCTTTGGCAGCATTGGTCTAGAGGGACTTGCTTAGATGGAAGATGTGCACATCTAAAAAGTAACCAAATATCAACCATTCTATGAGGAATTCTCACCATACAGTTTTCCAGTTATCCCCTCACTTCCCCTTTTAAACATAAAGTAGCATGAGTTAAGAATGAAGATATTGGAGGTAATTTCCTCACATTTAAAGGGAGAGTGGAATTAGACTTTATTTATTCAACAAACATTTGTTGCTTGACGCATAGTAAGTACTCCTGCGTTTTTTTATCTTGTCCTCATTGTCTGTTGCTCTCTGCTGTCTAAATTCCTCTGCCTCCTGTTCAGAGCTCTGCATCATATCACTCTAGCTCTTTATCTCCCATTGCTTCCCAAGAAAAATTCTGTTTTAGTCATGGAGGGCTCCCTATATCTTGCTCATGCATTCAGGCCTCCTTACCTCACGTTGTGCCATTCCTTACATTGCTGTGAGCCTCTTGACACCATTCACCACCCAATCCCTCTTTCTTAAGACTCTTCCTGTTGCCTCCTTGACAGAACTATTTCCTCTCTGGCTACTCCTCAGCCTCTCCCTCAGATTTCTCTTTCGTCACCTGCCTCTTAAATGTTAGCATCCTTTAGGGTTCTGGCCTTGGCTCTTTTCCTTTTTGTTATTCTGTGCACATTTCCTGGGCAGTTTCATCTATGTCTGTGTCCTCTGATGTATTCATGTATGCATGTGCACATGTAAGCATGTATAAATTACCAATTAGGGTTCTTGGTTTTCAAGTGACACCAATTCTGACTAAATTTAGTACATGTGAATTTATTGGAGTGCTATTTGGATATCACAGAACGATGCTTGGAAATAAGATGAAACCAAGGCATCTTAAGGAGGCGAGGAAGCAGATATGATACAAATGGTCTTTTAGAAAGACCCATCTGGGCAGTGCCCTGCTGCTAGAATGAATGCATTCCACCTGTGTTCATTCTTTCTGCAATTCTCCTCAAGGTTCCCATTTAAGTTGGAAGTCTCCCAATGGCCTGATTAAGAATCTCATGAGACCTTATTTAAGGGGGAAAAAGTAACTCCCCGAAGGAAATAGATATTCTTTGGAAGGGAAAAAGATGATTGTAGTTAAGAACAAATAAACAAAAAACCAAATGATACCATATGTACCTGTAAATTGCAAATGTCTATCTTTAGCTCAGATCTCTCTTCAGTTTCTCTTTTACTATATCTTGCTGCCTTTTGAACATCCCCATCTAAATGTTGCTTAGTCATTTCAAATATAACATCTTTTTTTTTTTTTTCTAAGAGGAAGAAAGAGAGACAGCAGGGGCAGGAGGGGCAGAGAGAGAGAATCTTAAGCAGGCTCCATGCCCAGTGTAAGCCCAATGCGGGGCTCAATCTCACGACTCTGAGATCATGACCTGAGCCAAAATCAAGAGTCAGATGCTTAACCCACTGAGCCACCCAAGCGCCTCTAAAACTAAATTTTTAATCTGTCCTCTTACCTCCTGCTTAAAAATAGGGAAAAAAAGTAAAAAAAATAAGAGCAGATTTCCTTACCCCTTGGTCCCCTTTCTCAGGAAAAGGCACTTATCTACTAGAACCCTTACGTCATTAATGAAGGATCACCCCAAATCCTCATTCCCACAGCTGCTAGAGGTCACCAAATGCTGTTTGTTCTGCCTGTGTCAAATTCTCTTCTATCACTTCCATTGCTGTTGCCTTAATTCAGGTTCTCATTGGAACTGGAGTATCACAATAGCTTTGCAACAGTTCTTGCTTCCAGTCTGCATGCCAAACCTACTACCAGAAGGATCTTTGTAAAAGCAGATCATGTCACTCTTGTGCTTAAAAACATGGCCTTCAAGAAAATGCCCATTGCCTTTAGAATAAATTATTTTTTTGCTTTTCTTGAAGATTAAAAAAACACATTTACCATTATATATAACACAAATATAACAAGTGCATACAAGGTGATTTTGTTTTTAACCTCTGAGCTGTTTCCTCTGTTTTGAATGTCCTTTCCATCCTTCATCCACCTGAGTTACTACTCTGTGTCCTTCAGGACTTCGCTTGGGCATAGTGTGTCCTCCTCCCAGGATCTGTACCAGTCACAGTTGCTCCTTTGCCCATTTCGAGTGCTTCACTCTGTGCATAACCTTTTTGAATTCCTCTTTGTACTATATTATAACTATGTGTACTTGTCTTTTTCCATTCAGAGACTACAGAATTGTTGAGAATTGTGTGTTTTATCTCCAGAATTTTTGTCTGGCACATAGGTGATAGTGAAGTTTGTGGGGTCATGTAAAGCCAAGGCCCTGTGGGAAGCCTTGGCCATTGTGGACCCCTGCTGTGAGACACTTGGGGGGTCAGGAGATAACCCCTCAGATTGCTGATGTTGTGCTGAATGGATGGACGTTTGTTATCATCTGAGTGCAGCTCAGTGGAAGACTGGCTGCCAGGGCGTGGAAAAACAGGAAGATTCTTCCCAAAAGCACACTTGGAAGTTAATTATATGCACAACATATGAGGGAAACTTGTAGAATAAGAGCAAGTATCAGCAGATTATATTAGTCAGTCATACTTGAAGAAATTAGAGATGTTTGTATATTCATAGAAATAGTCTCAAAGAATATTCCCTGAAATGTTACCAGTCTCTTGGGGGTGAGATTTTGGCAGATCTTATACTATTTCATTTTCATACTTAAGCAATTTTTATAAGTATATATATCATTTGTAATTAAAAAGCAAAAAAAAAAAAAAAGGCATTTCCAGCAAGAGATAGGCTGTCTTGCATCCCAGGAGTAGGATCAGCAGGACAACTCTGCAACCATGAGGGAGCCTTTGTAGACCTGTTTTCCAAGCCAGCCTTTTCTGGGGAAGCTCAAAAGAAATATGATGCCCCAGACTTCACAGAGGAAATGACGAGTCCATGTAACTGAGGCCAAGCAGAGACCCGGTGAAAGTTCTACACTCCCTGTAAGGCCGATCAGCTACATATTCCAGAGGCCAGTTACTAGAATAACTTCCCAGCCTGGCAGTGAAGTCAGGTACAGTCAATGGGAGGAGAACTTGGAGAAGCCCCAGTAGGTCTGTGGAAAGAAAGGATACTACAGGGACTCCAGGCCTACTACAATGAAGGAGAACTTTTTTAAGTTCTGGATTTTGCAAATACTTTAAAAATAATTGCAGCAAATAGTCCAGGTGAACCTGTAAGTCTTTCTGGTGCTGGATGCTGAGCCTACCTTTGGCTAGTCTTCAGACTGGACAGAAATGATCCCAGAAATGGGTCTTTTTCTCTCCCATTCCCTCTGCAGATAACAGGCAACTTCCAGAGATATCCAGAGACAGACATGGAAAGTGAAGAAAGCAAGGGAGAGAGTAACTGGCTTTGAGGATAGACAGGGTCACCAGGGAGGCAGAGAGGGAGAAACCAAGAAGGATGCCCTGAAAACTAGGTGATAAAAGGGAGGAAGTAGTGCTAAAGAGGTTGGGTAGTGTGGCCCTTGCAATAGGTTCTCCATGGAACAACCAGGTTTTGCTTGCCTGTCTTTGGTGTCAATACTGTTTCTTGCTCTAAACTATCACAGTTATACCCACACTATTCTTTATTAAACTCTTTTAAGAGACCAAAAATAAAATAAGTAAAATTGTATTTATACTGATTCAATTAGTAACTAAGAACAATTTAAATAATTTTTAGGTCTACTTTTAAAAAAATTGATATATCTGTATTTCCATTGTTCCTATTTTCACATAAACTGCAAGGCAAATAATATGTATTGATCACCTGCTATGAAATTTATAGCTAATCTGACTTAAAAAAAAAAACCAGTTAGAAATGAGGGTGCTTTCCTGTGCTCTTCTAAACACGAAATAGGTTGGCAAAAGTTTTATCTAGGGGTGAGGTTTTTAGATCATTAATCACATCCCTGGGTTTTTATTGAAATTCCATATTTCTTGATCTCAAACAGTGATTCTTCCAAAGTAATCAAAAGGTGTTGCATTTTCATATTTAAAAAAAATGAGTTTAAAGCCCACTGAAACTTGAAGATTTTTGAGCAGGTAAAAAGTCCTGTTTTTAAATTTTTAAACTGAGAAGAGAATTTTACAAGTAATTCTCATCGTTTTGGTGACAAAGTCACAACTGCAGTAACATTTCAAAACATGCATTTTCACATGCTGTCTCTATAGCATAAGTGTCTTTTTGAAAGACACTTTACTTCTTATTCATTGTTTAAATTTTATCTTTACCCTGGGGGGACAAAATTAAGTGTGTTTGTTATTTGGAAAACATCTGCTAGGTAACTTATCACAACCACTTGTCATCAGAGAAAAGGTCAGCAAATTTGGGACACTTGCCTTTTTTAAAAAGAAAGACGAATCACCGGTGACATCGTTAGCTCTTTTAAGGATTTTGCCACAGATAATTAGCACACTTATGTGTGATACAAAGGATTTTCATGGTCATTTTACATCTTGTTACAAAATCCTATAAATGTTCTCCTTTCTAAAGGTCTTGTTTTTATTTCTTATACATATCCTATAGCAAGTACACTGCAATATGTTACAGTAAGTGGAAAGATTATAAATAAGTAAGGTGTCACTATCAACTGTTGTATTCTGGATCTAGGATTCCCTGGTTTGTGATATGTGACTATCTGAACTGAGCTGAGGTATCAGGGTGTCAGTATGGTTTATTAAGCTTAATTTCTCCTCCTCCTCCTTCTTCATTTTTTTTTTTAGTGTTCCATGATTCATTGTTTGCATATAACACCCAGTGCTCCATGCAGAATGTGCCCTCTTTAATACCCATCCCCAGGCTGACCCATCCCCCACCCCCTCCCCTCTAGAACCCTCCGTTTGTTTCTCAGAGTCCATAGTCTCTCATGGTTCATCTCCCTCTCTCATTTCCCCCCCTTCATTTTTCCCTTCCTTCTCCTAATGTTAATTTCTTCTTTATATTTTAGATTACACTATAAATAGAGATTCTTTTTCCCTCACCGCTAAGATTTAATGCTCCCCTTAGGTCATATACATTTCCTTTTGGAGACCCCTCGCTCCATATCAGAGCATAGGAGGCCCTCTGTGATTTGGCTCTTGTCCACCTCTCCAGACTTAAATCCTTCCATGATCCGGTCTTGTACCATGTACTCCAGCAACTCAAAACTGCTTTATTTGTTCCTTCATGTGCCATGCTGCCCCCTCTGCCTACAGTGTTCTTCCCTCCTTCCTCTCCTCCCCCTCCACTGTGTCATCTGTAAAGAGCCTTTCTTTGTCCCCCATCCCAGCCTCAAGTTAGGTGTTTCTCTTTGTGCTCATAGAATATTTGGTGTATGACTCTGACACTGCATTACTGGTACTTTATTATGTCTATGTC